CACAAGTGAATGGAGGTGTCGAAGTTAGCCACACTCTGGAGAAATGGCTTGGCCATCGGAAATACGAAAGAAAAATTTTAAACCTGAATTATCACCAATAGAACTTCGGGTCTACCTTTCAGTTCACTAAGGGCTCTGGCCAGGATCTTAAGGCTTAAATTATGCGGACAAGTACAACGGCTAGATGAGAAAACAAAGAGAACATCGTGGTTCAACCTTTTCCTGCCAATTTCCTCTTTTTCTCTTCCTCTCGTTTTTGCTTGACTAAGGCCAGCCTGGCCTTGAGAGAGCGGAGCTTTTCGTCTGCGTCTTCCTGAGCTCTTTCTTCATCCATTATTCGATCCATGATCAGTTCTCTTTCTTCTCTCTCTTTCCTTTCCCTAGCTGCTTCTGGGGTTTCAGTGTCAGGTGCCACTCCCATCACTTCTCCCTCCAATATCGCAACACCCTTCACGGTTGATTGAGCACTATTAGCGTTTGCATTTGAACGCCGCAGGTGTTCGGGCAAACCTTCCTCTTCGTCGTAAAGTATTTGTTCTTCTCCGGCCACTGTTGCCCGATTGAATATTTCCTGTTTCGAAAGGGCCGAATTAGCAGCCTGGCTAGAAAGAAGATCACGCTCAAATTCGGCCATTTCCATATCAATTTGGGAAGTACGTTCGGTCGGTCCTGGTGGTGCCGTATTTGGAGCCTCTTCCTCCTCGTCGGAGTCTGCCGTCGGGAGTGTACGTGTAGGATCGGAGAAGAAGTTGGATGGTGCTGCTGTAGAGTCTTGGGTTGTTTTCAAACGCTTCGAGGCTGGGCTGATGGCCTACGGGTGGCGCCGCTCAGTGATAAGATTGCAATTGATTATTAAGACTTACCCTTTCATTACCAGGGGTGTTCTGTCCATTAGAAGAACCTTCATCGTCACCTTCGACAGCCTTTCGCTTCCCCTTTTCTAATCTTGCCTCTTCATCCTTCTTCTTTTCCAGCTCTTTTACTCTTCCAACGTTTGTACGATGTGCCTTGCTTCCCAAATGACCACTCCATGCAATATCGTTGTCTTTGACAACAGTGGCGCAGAGTGTACATCGCAGTTGGCCAGACTGATTATACGCCGCTAATGGGTGGGTGATTCGTTTGGCCCGTTCCTACTCCAAGCGGACAAGTTAGAGGCGGGATATAGAAATTCGGAATATATATGTTAGCACGTCTCGAGACTAGAGTCCAAGCATTGTCCTTCACCTGTGCCTTTGCCTTTAACAGAGCTCGGACATCTGCAGCCATAGATCAATCCAAGTACCGAAAGTGAATTATTCGAAAGTTTGAGCAATAGAGTGTTCAGGGCTCGTAGTTTACTTTTCAACCAGAAGTGGTAGTGGCAGAGGTCTAGTTGGATTCGACCACCACCAAGTTTGACATCTTTAGCCTGCCGCTTCGGTTGGCTTTGGATATCTCAGAGAGTCGGATAGACGCTCCTCCTTTTCGGTATGCTACTTATTTTCGGACACACTGTAGGCCCATATGTTTATGGCTCACAAAAAACTCGTATTCCAGAGCTTTTGCACAAACTATGCTACATTTAATTCCTGCAAATCGACGATAGAAATGCAATTTACAACGAGCAAATGTTCTGTTCTTCGGTTTGCGCGGCAAAAGACGACCAGTTCGTTCAGCCAGACCCGAGCCTGGACTTGCAAATCGCTATACACGAGAACATCTGCAACTATGGCTGCCAATCCCCTTGAATCTATCAAATCATGGTCCAGACAAACTAGCTTTTTCACCAACAACCAAACTCTTGGCCAACTCGACAGCAAAGTGCTCGACCAACGAAATTCGATCTATACCGAACTCGAACGGTCCCAAGCTAAACATGAACCCGGGTCATGGCCACCATCAACAGTACCACTCCAAGCTTACAAGCCAGTTCCACCATTAACCTTTGGTGGAACTCTGAAGGTTTACTCACAGTTGGCTAAATCACGCCTCACTTTCCTCAACGTTCTAGCTGCCATGTCGGGTGTCGCATTATCACCTTTACCAGCTAGTGTACCTGTATTGCTTGCGACAGCTACAGGGACGCTCTTGTGTTCTGCATCCGCCAACACGTTTAACCAGCTCTCTGAAGTACCATTCGACGCGCAAATGGCACGAACAAGGAACCGCCCAATCATTCGACGAGCCATTTCACCTCTACATGCTGCATGCTTTGGAGTCACCACAGGTATCGTTGGTCCTGTTATCCTATTAGCCTACACGAACCCAGTCACAGCGGCACTTGGGTTCGGGAATATCATACTATATTCTGGAATCTACACCGCTCTCAAGCGAACAACTATCGTCAATACCTGGGTAGGAGCTGTAGTTGGTGCCGTTCCACCTCTAATAGGATGGACAGCCTGTGGCGGATCCCTCCTCCCCTCCTCAACCACTCCTCTATCTTTATATCTTCCATCATTCGTATCCTCTTCTCAAATCACCACTTATATTGCTTCCCTCCCATCATGGGCCAGCGAACTCGTCACCACAACACCAATCCTCGACAACCCCCTCGCCCCTCTCGCCCTCTTCCTCTTCCACTTTTCCTGGCAATTTCCGCACTTTAACGCCTTTTCCCACTACGTCCGTTCTTCCTATGCACAAGCGGGATATGCGATGCTCGCCGTATTCGACCCCAAGAAGAACGCGCTCGTTTCCTTACGCCACGCAGCCCTTCTCATCCTTATTTCCTCCGTTCTCGTCCCTCTCTCGGGACTTGCCGAGTGGACATTTGCGCTCACTAGTCTAGTACCCAATGCCTTTTTCCTCCATTACAGCTACAAGTTTTGGAAGTACGGAGGGGACAAGATCGCACGTAGTTTGTTTGCGCATAGTCTGTGGTATCTACCCGTGATGCTGGGATTAATGATGTACCATAAAAGAGGTACAGATTGGCTCAGCTGGCTCGGTTTACGGGAGGCTCCTGTCACTGGAGAGGGGGTACAAGTAGAGAAGTAGTGCGCATGTCATTTCTGCTAATATTTAATCTACAC